CCCCCCCAGTTCCAACCGGAAGCACCTGTCTATCTTCCCAGTCAGCCTGTGTGGCCCGTTCTGCTGCTTCAGGACTCAGATTCAATATCCTCCTCTCAGACAGCCACCCTCCACCCGTCTGCGCTAGGCCCAGTCTTCTCCCTGTGTGGCCACGTCGGCTTCCCAGGCATCCATTAGGGCGACACTGGCCTGAACTCAGGACAGGAAGGAGGGGACAGTGTTGGCTAAATGACCCACCCTGTACTACCCTACATATTTCTTAATATTTTGGTACTTTCAAAATTATAGTTGATTATAAACAGCCTAGTACACGTAGGTAGCATTTCCCCCAACATTTAAGAATGTTAAGAATTTAAGTAATTTATTAACTTGTTAAAAATTTTCAAACACATGAAAAACTGATTTTTTAAATGAACCCCAATAAAGCCAGCACCTAGATCCCGCAGTTGTGGGTCCCCTGCTTCTTGGCACATCCACCCAGCTCTCCACTCCAAAGGCAGCTGCGTTGGCAGTCCAGGCAGGCAGCCTACTTGTCCTAGTCTTTATGGCTGAAGGCAGTAATTTCATGTTTATTGCAGTCTTGCAAGAGCATCTATATGATGCTAGGAGCTTGTTGAGTAAAAGAACACTATAAAATCTGTGCCTGTTGTGTAGAAGCCCTTTTTCTATATTTGAAACTTACTTTGCACAATAGAAAAAGATTTAACTATGACATCAAATAATGCAGGTGCTTCTACATAAGCAATTATTTGATAAAAAGTGTTATAATAAAAACCCATTCACTTAAAGAATAAAATCAAAATCTCATCCGGCCAGGCGTGGCTCAGCAGTTGAGCATCGACCTACAATGGAGATCACAGTTCCATTTCCATTCAGGGCATATGCCTGGGTTGCAAGCTCGATCAATGACTCTCATCATTGATGTTTCTCTCTCTCCCTCTGCTTCCTTTCTCTGAAATCAATAAAGGCATATTTTAAAAAAAAGCTTCCTCTACTCTTGCTGTACAATTTAGAAAATGTCCTCGTAGAAGGACAGGTGGTAGACACTTCTCAAAATATTTAGCATCAAGGATACTTCTCCAGGCCCACAAAATCTAAAATATTAACTGTCTGGCTACATCACAGAAAAAGTTTGCCAACCCCTAGATTAAACTATTTGAGAAACAGGGGAGGGGAAGAAGGTATAAATGAACTAAAATCCTCATCAGTAAGTCCAGTTTCTAAAAAAGATTAATTAAGACATCAGTATAAGACTATTTAGAAATGTAGAGATAAATGCATTAGTGCTAAATGAATTAAAAGTGGTTGCCTACAGCCCTGGCTGGTGTGGCTCAGTTGGTTGGAGCTGTATACCAAAAGGTTGTAGGTTCAACTTCCGGTCAGGGTACATACCCAGGTTGCAGGTTGGGTGTGTATGGGAGGCACCAGTTGATGTTTCTCACCCCCCCACCACCCATTCTCCCTTCCTTTCTAAAATCAATAAAAATGGGTCTTGGTGAGAATTAAGAAAAAAAAGTGGTTGCCTGTAGGCAACCATGTGTGACGGGGTGGGGGGACAAGAAATATTGTCTTAAGCCTTTTCAAGAACCATTTGATTGCTTGAACTATGTTCAGGTATTGCTTCGATAAGACAAAAAATAAATTTTAGTACAGCACAGGGAATATAGTAAACAATATTGCAATAACTATGTATGGTGCCAGATGGGTACTGGAAATATCAGGGGAGACACTGTGTAAGGTATATGATTGTGTAATCACTATGCTGTACACCTGAAACTAATACAGGAATAAATGTTAAAACAATTGAATGGCACTTACCATGATTTAGAGGTCTGGAGTCCCAGGCTCATCTGCTGCCGCCCTGGAGCCACTTGGATGCCCATAGTCCAGTGTCAGGAGTCTAAGCTCCTGGCCCCATCCCCTCTCCTCTTCCCTCATCTTCACTCATCCTGGGATTCCCATCCTGGTGGCTGGGAGGGACAGTCCCCCAGGGAACCTGATTTACCGGCTCTGCCCCGGGAGATTGATAATATATTATCTTTTCCTCCCCCCACCTCTGAGTCCAAGGCCAAGCAGAAAGCAACAGGAAGGAGCAGTAGCCATGAGAGCTGCTGCCCTGGCCCAGCCCGACTCCGCTGCTCCAACAGGTGGTCTGGGGCACGAGCCATATCTCCCCTCTTCCAGGCCGCCAGGTCGGTGCCCCGTCTACACAACCACTGTTCCTAAGCTGCCTCAGCCAACTGAGGCCCACGCTGCCCAAGAGGAAGCCAACCCGAGTGCTGGTTCCCGGACCAGTGCTCCACCCGGGTGCACACACCACCCAGTGAGGTCCCACAGCCCCATCTGAAACTTGCGCTTAGGACGGTGGTGGGCAGATGCCCATCCTAGCTCCCACCCTCCTGGATCTTGGAAGTGCTGGACAAAGGAAAGCAGCTTGTCACTTAGTGAGAAAGAATAGCCACAGAACACAGAGGCCCCATGAAAGATAGTTTTTCCATCAAGCTTTTAATGAAAAGATCATAAAATAACAGTTTCTCATCACTGTACATTAAGACTGCACGCTTCTGAATGGAGAGATCAGTCGTTGGTGAATTGCTTTTCTATGACACTTGAGGGCTGCTACTTGCAGCTCTGACCTGAATTTATCCAAACTCTCGAGGGAAGTGAACTCAATGTGATGACTGACAGCGGTGGTGGCCAGTACAGGAGTGCGATCACAGTGTCCCCCCCCCTTTCTGGGAAGGACATAAAGTAAGGACATGATCCCTCTTCCAGTTCCAATTAAACAAAACAGCTATAACCCCATCCCTCTCCCTCCCCCTCGAGGTATTTATGAATGGGCAAGTGCCCAACCTGGGGTCCCCCAAGGGGGGAGGGGGAAAGCAAGTGATGGGTAGGGTACAGAGAGGCTCCCCTCAGCACCTGGCCCCACGGGGCCCCGCCAAGTGGAGGGGGGGGAGCCCTGGGGATCCTCCCTGCCCCAAGTGAGGTCTGTTATGCAGCATTTCTGAGGTCAATAAATTACAGCAATAAATAGCAAGGTGAGGTAGGGGGAGGGGTTCCTGGTAGAAAATCAAAGTGGGATGACTGAAGCTGGGGGGTACTGGGCAGCCTCAATTCCCACAGTGCACACCCACCCCCTGATTTGGAATGTCAGACGGAGGCTCTGGGTAGGTCCCTCTCCATCCCCTCACTCCTGGCATCAGATTCACAGGTTCAAGAATGTCTGCCCCAACGTGGCTCCGGGGAAGAGCAAGGGCCTTGGTCCCTTCAGGGGCATGGCAGAGCTGAGACCCCTTGTTTGTTCTCCTAAGGCCTGGCACCTCTGCTTTTGTCCCCCCCCCCCAAGTTGAGGGAACAGGACGGATGCAATGACCTCTTCCCTGAGCCCTACCCTCCTGGCTGCCCAGGCCTCACCCCAACTCGGGACAGCCGCGGGGAAGGCAGCTGGGGTCTGCCTGCCCAGCCAGCCAGCCCAGATCGCACTCCTGCACTCGGTCAAGTCCAGTGAATACTGACGGGGTGGGGGCAGGGGACAGCCCAGCGCCCCAGAGTGGTGACCAATGGGAAACACACACATGGCTGTGTGAGGTTCTGAAAGTCAGTCTGGGTCCGGATTGTTCGTTCACAGGCTGAGGTGTATGGCTATGCTGCGAGTCTCTGAGATTCTTATTTGCTTAAAGGTTCATCTTTTCTTTTTTGCAATCCTGGACGAGCCCTTGAGGTGGCTCGGTCTGGCAGGAGTGTGCGGTGGCAGAGCCCGGCCTGCCCCTCGCTCGCCCCAAGTCTGAGAAATAAATACATTCATCACTGCACAAACATATTGATACAAAAACAACACTGTTCAGAGTGTTTGCACCATCTGTGTTGGTAAGGACCAGCCCAGTAAGCCCCTCCTGCTGGTGGTGGTGGTGGTGGTAGTGGTGGTGGTAGGGTGGGTCCCCAGGGGCTGGGACCAGCCAGGATCAATGGACGTGCAAAGGTCCTGGCTTTTTGGCTTGAGAGGGACCCTCACATCAACACACCCCAGGATCTTGGGCAGAGCAGCAGGGTAGGGCTCACCTCCATCCCGGGGCCCAAGCCCAGACTCGGGTCCTGTGGTCAGAGCCGACAGCCACCCCCTGCTGTGCCAGCTGGCCAGAATGGCCAGGAGGCCTGGGGGCCAGTCAGCACTGGCCCAAGCTCTTTGGTGCCAGCTGGGCTTGGAGAGGCCCGGGGCTGGGAAAGAAGGCTCAGGTGAATCCGGGGACCGCCACACCTGCCCCAGTCCCATAGCTGCCCCTCTGTCTGGGAGCTCTACCAGGGCCGACTTGGAAGGGCCTCCAGCAGAAGGTTGGGACTCACTGGGACTGGCCTTACAGCTGCTGAGGTCTGAAACTGTAAAAGTTTATGTAAACAATGAGATAAATATATTAGCATCTTTTTTCTGATCCTGTTGAGGTTCCGTACTCATTCAAAATGTGCTTTGGTTTAAAAAATAAGTTTTGTGAATTTGGGTATGAGCTTTTTTTTCCTTTTTTCTTTTTGCTGTCGTTTATCCTTTCCTACATGACATCTGCTGTTTTCTGTTTCCTGTTTCTCCGAAACATTCAGGAATTAAGTGACTAAAGCAGAGAACTGTAAGCCGCCCTGGGCCTCCAGTGGCCTAATTTCCTTGTGAGGCTCTTAACGCATTTCCACGCACACTCTCGCAAGCACACTCCACATGAGATCAAAGGGAAAGAAAACAAAAACAAGTGTTGTGTCAACCCCGCCCCGCCCCACAAACCCTTAAAGTCTTAAATAAGAAACTAGTGTTTTGCTTTCTTGTTAAAATACAGAAAAGGCTCGATACAATACTCAGGTGGGTACAATACTATGTCGCACAAACGTCGTTGAGTGAGGGGCCTTTGAGCCCAGTCCCTGAAGCTCTGCAAATGAATCGCCTACTTTCACAAGTCACCTCACGTTTGCGGAGGCCCACAGCTGAGGAGGCCACACGCAGGCCGGGCGGGTGCACACCTCCCGTGCAGTACAGACTTTGTGTCCTGTGGCTTAAGTGCTGACTGAGTGGGGTGGGGGCTGGGAGAGCAAAGGGGCCTGCGTCAGGCCCTGCCCCTCACTGACCTGCTGGACAAGAGACCCTGGGCCTGGTCCTCCATTTCCCACCCAAAGGAAGAGGAGCCGGCTCAGGGCCACGGGTGCCACAGGAGGGCTCACCCAGGAGCCCTCACTCCCGAAACACCCATTCACCACTCGGGTCCCTGAACTCAGGCTCTGTTTTCAGCTGGAGGGTCTGTGGAAGGGTTGAGGGGTAGGGGTAGGGATGACTCCAGAATTTTTTGGTCTGAACTTAAAGTAGAAAGAAAAAAGAAAAAAAAAAAGCAAAAGCACGGAGCAAAATGAAGACGATAAAGCCGCTGTCTCAGCCCCGTGGCTCCAGTCAGCTGACAGCGGAGCCGACTTCAGCAACCTTGCTCTGGCCTTGTGAGCCAGGCTCTGGGCCCACGGCGGCATCTGAGGCTGGTGGAGAAAACCCAAGGTGAGGGGCGAGGGGTGAAACCCCAGACAGGGATGAGCCAATGGGTGGCGGCCAGCCTCGAGACAGAGTGACAGTGGGCCAGGACTACCTAGAACAATGCTCAAGCAGGACAAGTCCCCTCCCTGCCCCCCAGGGGGTACATATCACTCTGGTCAGCCCCTTCCCATGCCTCCATACTGGCTAGCACCTGCTAGCACTAGCTAGATGGAGCTGCTACTTCCCCAAGCTCAAGCTCTTGCAGGCCCAGGGAACAGGATGGGGGGGCTCACTTCTGCCTCACCCTGATCCTGGCAAGGGGCTGAAAAGAGCTGGCTCCCATCTCCCCGTTGCCTAATACCTGGCTCCCATGGGGCTGGAAAACTGACACCCTCACCTGGTCCCAGACTGGAATTGTGTAGGCTCCCTGGCTCTCAGCAGCACACTCAGAACGCCACAACTAGCCCTGTGCTCAGGAGGAAACCCACCCATGAGCACAGAGACCCTGGAGCTGCAGGAGCCTCACTGAGAGTATGGTGTGTGTGGCGGGGCCCAGGGCTGTGCACCCAAACGTCTGTGCACTAAGAGAGGAAAACAACTGTCATGGCCTCAACTGCCAGTCACCAACTTACTGTTCATGAATTTCAAGAGGTAGCAAAAGGTCAGAAGTCTCTCCACCTTGACAGGTAAGGAAGAAGGAAAGCGCAACATCTGTCCCCACGCACTGCGCAAACCACACACACAAAAAGGAACACAAGGACCAACGGCCCTGGCACCCAGTACGGCCTCCCCCCCCCCAACCCCAGACCTTCCAGTTCAAACATTCACATAAACCTTACACTGGTTTTTCTCTTAATAAAAAACAAGTACCTCTAAACAAAGATTCCTCAGAAACTATAGGAAAAGCACTCTCTCTCCTGAGGCAGCCGAGGCGGGCTCGGGGCCCAGGGAAGCCTTTGGCCAAGAAGGGCTTCTGGGGCCTGGAGGGGTGGGCGCCCCGAAGCCTGCAGCCAGGGCGGGAGGGGCAGCTGCCCCATACATTCAGTCTGCAGACCCAGGCTCAGCCCCGAGGGGCCGGGAGGAAAATAAACTCTTGTTGGTTTTGGTTTAAAAAACAAAACTCACAAAGAAAAAAGGAACAGATCAGTAGGAATAACAGCAACGCAGGCCCAAAGGGCTCTTTAGTTGTGGAGAGGTAGGCGGTGAGGGCCCCCCTACTTGAGGAAGGGGGACTCCATCACCTCCCACCCAGCACTGCTCCCCTTAGAACCAAGGTGGCCCGCACACAGACTAGCACTCCTGCGTGTGGGGACACTGCCCCTGGCCACAGGCAGCCCTGATCCTCCCAGCATGGAGGGAGGTCCCCACTCCCCCTGCTCAGGCCTGACCTGCGAGAAAAAGGCCAGGTCTCTGCGAGCCCCATGACCCACTCCCACAGGCCCTATGGCCGCCCTGGCAGAGAGCCGGGGGCCTGGGCGGGATCTAGAGGTAGACTGCACACCCGCAATACCTTTGGGGCTCGAGACCCGGCCTTCCTCTGCTCTCTTCCCTTGGTACAGACTGTGGATTAAAGCTCTGGGTGGGGGGGCTGGCTGGAGGTGCCACCAGGAGCCACCCCCGCTGGATTTGGGGTCCAGGTCCGCCTGCCGGGCCTCCTTGCTTCTTCCTTCCATTGTTCCTGAGGGCAAGCCTACAGAGGGCGAGTCTGCAGAGGCCACCCACAGGCTGGAGAAGGTCTTTGGCTTCTAGGAGGGGGAGGTGTGCATGCGCAGGTGGCTGATGAGGTTGCGCTGCTGGGTGAACTTGCCCCCACAGAGCTGGCACTCGTAGGGCTTCTCACCTGAGTGCACGCGCATGTGCTCCGTCAGGCGGTACTGGCGGGTGAAGCGCATGCCACACTCATCGCAGGCGAAGGGCTTCAGGCCCAGGTGGCTGCGCATGTGGCGTGTCATGGTGCCACGCTGCGTGAACATCTTGCCGCAGATGTTGCAAGGGAAGGGCCGCGTCAGCCAGTGCGTCTTCTCATGCTGCCGCAGAGTGGCCGGGTCCTTGTAGGTCTTCTCACAGACCGAGCACTTGAAGGGCCGGGGCTCAGCTGCGTAGGCTGCACTGGGCGCTGACAGGTCCTCAGCCTCCTCCTCAGCACCCCCACTGCCCGTCTCGTAGGCACCCTCCTCCTTGATGAACAGCTCCTCCTCTGTGTGCGTCTCCACGTGGGCGTTGAGCTGCTCGGAGCTGGGGAAGCCTTTGGCGCAGGGGATGCACACATACAGGTTGTCCCCATAGGACACTGTCTCGTAGCCCTCTTGCCGGTACACGTAGTGGGCGCTGGCGTGGCCACTGCCCCCCTCACTCCCGCTCTGCCCGCTGTCCTCACTCCCGTCCTTGCCGTTCTCCTCCTCCTCTTTGCAGGGGTATGAGGGCTCCCCATAGGGCACGCTGGGGCCACCCCCTGCTCCACTGCTGGCCAGGATGCCATTGGGAACCCTTTCCCCAAGCCCCTCACTCTCCTCCCCTGGGCAGGAGCCCTTGGGCCCCACTTCCCTCCGCTCAAAGGGGGAGCCAGCCACAGGCTCCTTTTTGTTCCACTCCTTCTTGCGGGCTGAGTGCCGGAGGCTCTTCCGGGGCTGCCCGCCAGGCCCCTCCAACAGGCTCAGGTGGTTGTCCTCGGCCCCCTCCAGATCCATGGGCTCACTGGGGGTGCCCCCCAGCTCGGCATAAGAGGCACTGTTGGCAATGGGAGGGGCAGAGGCCGAGAGGGGTGAGCCGTGCTGACTGTCGCTCAGCTGGGCTGGGTCATCAGGAGTGAGGGGGGGACCAGGAGTGGCAGGAGGTAAGGGGGGGCTCTTCTTGGACAGGTCTAGGCCCAGCTCCTGCTCGCAGCCTCCACTGCTCCCATTGGTGCTACAGCTGCCCAGGCCGGCCTCCCCACTGGCTGGACAGACAGCCCGGCCCAGGCTGTGTACACTCTCCTGGTTGGAGCTGCCGAGGAAGAGCTCGTCATCTGAGCCTTTGGCCTGGGGGAGCTCCTGGGTGGTGTGGGCCCCCTTGCGTCCATCCATGAGCCCCGGATACCGAGCCTGGATGACGGAAGCTGTGGACAGCCGCTGGCTGCGAGGGGGCCGCCCCATGCCAGTAGCCCCCACCCGTCCAGAGCCGAAGGTCTTGCCGGCTCGCTTAAGCTTTCTACGACAGAGGGCTGCCAACTCGGGCAGCTGGAGGTAGCTGGCGGCAGTGAGGAGAGTGCTGAAGTTGGGCTCAGCTGGCTGGTCGCTGGGAAGCAGCTTGCCCGTGTAGATAAAGTCCAGAATCTGCTGGAACACTGTGGAGCTGACCATGTCCGTGTCCAGGTTGATGAGGTTGTCGTGCAGGACCAGGGACTTGAAGTAGATGCTGCTGGCGGCCAGGACATTCTTGTGGGCCCGGAAGATGGAGTTCTCCACCATGATGATGACATCACACAGGAAGCCCTTTGTCCTCTGCTGGTTCAGCTGTAGCAGGAGCTGCTTCGAGTGGCTGGGCAGCTCCATGTCAGGCCCCATGTCCCCACGCCCTGTCCACGCGTACCACCTACAAGCAAGAACAGGCACGTGAGAGTTAGCTGACCGGGACCCTCATGCAAGGGCTCCAGACCCAGGTGGGCCACAGTGGCACTCAGAGAGGCATCTGAGCTGACCTGGCCACTGGCCACTTCCTCAGACACGTACACAGGAAGGGAACTCACACTGGCCACCTAGCACTCAAACTGCCGGAGAAGGGGCAGTGGCACTGGCCCCATTTGCACCTATGAGGAAACGAAGGCAGAACAATGAAAGTCACTCTGCGCCAAGTAGAGAAACTGGGGTTGAATTTGACTTCACAGCCCAGGAACCGTCTCCACACTAAAGAAGTTCACCACTCGCTTACAGGGGACCTAAAAATGACCAGCATAGGACCATGAGGTGCTGGGAAGTGGCAGGGACTAAGGAAGAGTAGGAGCTCTGGGAGGACCGACTTCCCATGTGAATGTGCAGCTACACAGCTTTGAGGGCACGCTAGAAGTCCAGATTTTTAGGTGAAATCTCCCAATATTAAACAAAGGTTCTTTTTCTTAAATATGCAGCCTCCAGTCTACCACCTGTACTCTATACAGGGTGCCTCTTTAAACAACCCTAGAGACTTCCCAAGCTTTCAGACGTGCCAATGTCACATTACCACCTCCCAGACTCTGCAGCCCACAAGCTGTCCCTCACCTGCCCCCAACCTCACAAGTGCTTTGCCCCCGGGAGGGCACAGAGTACTTCCTGGTCTGGGTCTCTGGGTGCTGAGAAAAAAACATGGCCTGGCTACACCCCTGGCACTGCCTGGGCCCTGGGTCCTTTCGGGGCAGGGCAGTGCTGTCTAGGCACAGGAAAGACAGCCAGCTGGCTTCGACAGACTGGCGCAGACACTAACTGACATCATTAAGTATTAAACACACAGAGGCCTCTGGCCTCATCAGGAACCCTGCAGGCTGGCTGTGTAGCAGTGCGATCACCATGCGCCCTCCCCACTGAGTAGCAGGGCCTAACAGCATAAGGACGTGGCTCCCTGCCCCCTCAAGCTGCTCAGGGAACATTAAACCTTCCACAGGCAACTCTGCCACACGGTTGACAAAGGTACCTTCACCTCCTTCTGCTTGGGGCTCAATCTCTGAAAGCAACTGAGTCTCTGAGCCTCACCTCACCTGGGACCTCCTGTTCCTACCAGGGCGCTCACCATGCCTCCCTGTGACACAAATACTCCCCCTTGCCCCACACATGCCCTTGTTTGCAAAGATTAAAAAAACAACATCCTAGCATCCACTGGCACCCCAAAGGCTTCACAGCTTTCTGTGAACACACCTGTCAGGCTGCAACCAAGGCCTGACAGCAGGAGGCAGCAAACACTTGCTAGGCTATAGGCCAGCCCAGCCCTGCAAGGCTGCTCAGCTGGGACTCAGGGGCTGGGGCCCAGGTCCCAGGGGAACCAACTCTCCCCTACTCCCTGCCCCACAGCCAGCCAGGCAGAGACAAAGAGCCCAAGGCATGTCTTCCACATTGGCCAGGATACCTGGCCCTAGGGAAATACAATATTAGCTCCACCAGCACCCAGGACACCTGGTGTCCAAGCTTGTCAAAGGGACTGGCGAGGGCAGGAGGTCCCATCCTCCAAGAGCCTGTAAGCCCACTGCGGGCCCCTCCTCCCCAAACCAAGGACAGCCTCCCCTCCAAGCTGAGCAGCCTGGTGCTGCATGCACACAAAGGACTGAAGGCCAGGTCGCAGGCTGAGAGCTGCGGGGCCTCCCAGAAATCCCACAGCAGGAGAAAGTAGATGATGCCCTCCCTCTCCCAGGCCTCCCTCCCCCCTCCCCTAGTCCTTCCAGCTCCCCCTCCCCAGCCTACCGGAGTGCCAGGGGCCCAGAAACCATGTGAGCAGTAGCCAGCGGGGGTAGCCTCCTTGAGCACGTGTCCTCCCTTGGGGGTGCATCAATGCCTGGTCACCTGGAAAGAAGATGGACATGGTCATCCAGACAGCCATCATCTAGGGAGAGAGGGACAGTGAAGTAGAAGGTGCTCTGGAGCCCTTGTTCCCAGGAAGGTCAGGGAATTTCTCTGGCTATGACGCCAGGGGCAGCCAGCTGGGAAGGAGACAGTAGCCATAATGCCCTGCCGACAGGCCCAGTGACAGGTAAAATGGCAGATTTAGGGAACTTGAAGGCACTGCACCCTTCTGCCACCCAGGTGCTTTAGGGTACTCCAGGGCCACCTAGGTTTGGGGAGTTGGGAGCAGGCAAATTCATGGCAGGAGTGGTGACAGGAGGCCTGGGCAAGGCCCTTCCCAGGCCGGCCATATTTACATAACAAAAGGTCAAAAATTGGAGGCACTGGTGCAATGGGCTATTTATAAGAACCAGTCTCAACCGCTTCTGGCTCTCCTGCCTCCTTCCCTTCAGATCTGCTCTTGCCCCCTCCCTGCCCAGAGGGCCCAGCCCCTCCTGCCCAGCCCAGCCCGGCTGGGCCTGACCACATGGCCTCCCCTTATAGTTTTCCAAAGCTCAGCCTTTCAATACCACCCTGCCAAAGTCACTGGCAGCTGCTACCAGATGTGGTGGGCGTCCTCTGTCCTCAACTGCCCCCAGCTTCAGGTCTTGCGGGAAGGGGGGTGTTCCTGAGGTTCTGGCTCCTTGTATACCACTGGGGCAGACCTGGGCTCCCTTGGAATGGAGCCAGGGTGGGGGAGGAGGCCTGCAGCAGCCTGGAGCCCATCTCTGCCTGCCCTTCCCCCGCCCCCAGGGCAAGGGAGGCTCAGCAGGTCCCTCAGGAATGTGACCAGACCCGGGGGTGCGGGTGGCTGGGAGGCCTCAACTCCAGCCTGCCAGCTGTCTCTCTGGCCCCTAGCACAACTCCCTTCTCACAGAGATGGCCCAGGGGGAAGGAGACGTGGCTGGTCAGGGTGGTTAGTCTTGGATCCCACGGATGGCCCAGAGGGCAACAACCAGCTCTGTAGGTCCAGCTGTCCAAAGCTTCATCGTTTAATCCCTGTGTGGAGTCCAGCTTCCCCTCCACCCCTCATGAGGCCAGAATTGATCAGTGGGATGGAGCCTGAGACCAGAGACAAGCAGTGGGACAGAGCTGAGCCCAGCCTTGGGAAGGAGAGCAGAGACCACTGCGACACTGGTGTAAAAACTGACAGGAAGCCACAGCCAACGAGATGCCCGCCACACAGCCCTATGCCACTCTGCCTGTTCTTCTCTGGACCTCAGGACAACCCAAGTCCTGCCCAGGCACAGTGTCCTACCCAGTGGCTTCTGCTTCAACATGTGTCAGACGCTGCAACTAGGGGTTACTCGCCCTTGTCAGAGATCAGGACAACTACCGGACAGCTCAGGGAGTGGGTAACAAAACAGGACTCAGGGCTCTCTGTTGGTCCCTGCTGGCCAGTCTGGCCAGGCTCTTCACTAACCTGGGGATAGCTAATTGACTAATCAAGGTATCCTGACCTGAGTCAGATATGACTCCTTTAAGTGCCCGACCTCCCCAAAGGGATGCTCAGAAGAAAAGGGGAGAACCAGCCTTGCTGCACCCTCAACTAGGTGGGGACCCAGCAGAGTTGCCTACATGATGCTGTCCTGCCAGCCATCCATCCCAGGCTGGGCCAAGTGTGGGCCACTGCTGTGTCTATAAACAACGAAGCAACAGCACTACACATGACGCAGTACCTCCCTGCTGCAGGGCCAGGTCCCCTATGAAGCACTGCTCTTCTCTTCCCAGCAAAATGACGACAGCCAGAGACCTCTGCCCTTCCACTTACAGACAGGTGTGGGAATAGCAAGCACCCATCCTAGAGGCCACAGCCTGGGGGGATGGAGGTGGCCAGGTTAGTAGAAACATGACTGCAGAGGCTGAATCAACAAGCTGGCAGCGCAATACCCCAGGGCGGGTGCCCCTCCCTGGCAGGAGCCTACTATAGGCTAGGATGAGGACACCACCTGGCACCCAGCAGCCCCTAGGCAGCAGGCCCAGGCAATGTGCCTGTCAGCCCCAAGGATTTCACGCTGAGATCAGGCCTGCTGCCCACCCAAAGCACTGGCTCCAGGAAACCCAGAATCTGGGGCAATGGGACAATCAGCTTCTCCTCTAGGGTCTACACCTGGCCTGTTGCAGGTGTGTGGGTAGGTGTCCCCAGGTGGGCTGACCCTGGCAGGTAAGGACAGGAACACAAGTCCCTGGGAGCCACCTCTGCCCTCCTGTGAACAAAAAGGGTGTGGGGGAATTGAACAGAGACCTGGCTGAAGACCTGGATCACCTTCCCCAGGCCCCTGTTTATGGAATGGTCAACACCCACCTACCCAACAGGGCAGTTACACCATGAACTGGGACAGGTCCTGCTGACTTCTCTTTTCTTTTTCCTCCCTCTAGGCCCCTGCCACAGAAAAGTCAGAGAGGAATATCGCCCCCTCATTCTCCCTACACACACACACACACACACACACGCACACACGCACACACGCACACGCGCGGCAAGCACCGGGCCCAGCCACCATACCTGAGGGAAGGTTAGGCCTTCTAGTTGAGCCAGAAGGAGCTGGCAGAGCTCCTCACACCCCCTCTGCTGCTCCTTCCCTATCTACTCTCCTCAGCCAATGGTATGAAAGACCCCACTGGGCAATGTCATCCTGTGGAAAGAAATACCTTGGGGTACACCCCCCCAATTGCTAAATGAAGCTATATCTGGGGGGTGGAATTACACATTTATGTCAAGTTCTAGAATGGGCAGAACTGATCTATGGTAGAAACAAAATCAGAAAAGCCTGTGGAGAGTGAGGTGAGCATTATCTGAGAAGGGGAATGAGTAACTTTCTGGGATGAGATCCACTCTGTATCTTGGAAGGAGTCTGGACGAAGGCAGATGCACTCACCGGTCAAAACTCAAAGGGTCACTTGAAATTTAGGTACATTATGTAAATTTTACTTCAAACAGGGAAAAAGTAAAGTCCAAATAAAAGGAGAGAAAGGACAGAGGCTTTCACAGGACATGCCTGTCTCAGGAGCTCAACACCAGCTAACATTTACTGGGTGCTGCCCTACACCAACCACACTCACCCTTGACCCTCCTACAGCCCACTTCCCCCACTCTCTGCCCAAACACCCATCCCACCTGCTCACCTCCCCAAGAGGCAGAGGGCCTGGGGCCAGCAATGTGGAGGAACGCACCATCTGTGGCCATGGGTATGACATCCCCCCGCCCCACTGCTGGTTTCCAGCCCACCCAAGGGTACCTGTTCAGCCTCATGAGCCAGTGGCTACACGGAAAATGGCTCATGAGGTCAGAGTGACCAAGGCAGAAAATCCCTGTCCCTTGTTCCTCCCTGTCTACAGGAGGCAGTCAAAGACCTAAGCCAAGGGCACCCCTCAGGTCTGCCCCCCATCCCCTCAGCAGCCTTGATCCCTATACCCACCCCAAACACACATCAAGCCAAAAGGCCAGTGAGGATGGTAGAGTGGGATCATGACTTCCTACCCATAAAGCAACAACACCCCATGGGGGCCCCCACTGATCCATAAGGCCCCACCACCTTAGGTAGTCCACATAGCTGCAGGGGCTCATGAGAAGGCTAGAATGGGGCCACCTCGAGGCCTCTCTTCCTAGTACCCCACAAAACGCAGGAGAGCGTGCTCTGGCCCCACACCTTTCAGAGACCATGAGAGGAGGTTTTAAAATGAAACTAATCCTTGCTTAAATAGAAAGCCCAGAATGACTCCAACCCCTGCCCCATTCTGACAGGAGCTGCCCCCAACTCAGTCTGGAAACCCACTATGCCCAGAGCCTGGGATCCAGGAGGACCTGGCACTCAGAACTGCTCTGGTCATTCAGCCTCCAGGGGTACACCCTCTGAAGACCAGGCTGACAGCCCTGGAACAGAAGAGGACATCTCATGCCTACCTCAAGCCCCACTGGTAGGGACCACACTCCCAATGCTGCTCACAGCTGGTACTTCTGACCCTCATGAGTGGTGCCCCCCAGGAGAATGCTGTCCCTTTACTAAATACCTGACCTCATTTGGGCAGGAATGTGCCCCCACAGAGGCAGCCTCAGGCACCTTGACTGAAATGCAAACCGGCCTCCAGGAAACTTCCTCCAGCCCAGGGAGCAGGGTGGGGCCTCCTTTCCCTGTCCCTTGCCTTTCTCTCCTGCTGAGAAGGCTCTGAGGTCCTATCTCTACCTCCGGGATAAATAAGACAAGGTTCTGGGGGGTAAGCAACTTGCCAAGGTCACAAGAGCAAGTGAGTGGCAGAGTGAGGACTCAAAGTGTGACTCCAGGGCTGCAGTCAGACTTCCCCTACCCTCTTGGGGACTCCCTTTCCCAGGCAAGAGCAGGGATGCCAATCACAGCAGAGCTGCCCTCCACATGGAGCCACTTGGAGGGCGGCCTTGGTCTGCACCTCCACTCCCATTCCTCCACCCCACCACCTGCCAGTCACAGCAGGGCCTCACCTGGGCTGTGTCCTTCTGACTCAGTGTGAGGGCCCAGGGATGGCCCAGCTCCTCCACCACCTTGGGGCAGTGACAAGCTTGAGGCTAGAAGCCACAGGTGGGGCCCACCATGCAGCCTACTTTGGGGGCCCCCAGGCTGCTCCTGCTGCTCCTCTGCGAACAGCCCTGGCCTCTGTGACCTCTCTGGCCCATCCCTTCAGGCATGGGCTGGTGGAGGGTGGGGCTCACTGCTCTGGGCAAGCCCAGCCGTGTAATCCAGCCCAGATCTGGATGCTGGCCAGCAGCTCCTGGCTCCTCTCCCAGACCATCCTCCTGGAAAGCAACAAGCTCCACAAATGCCAGGAGACGAGCCTTCCCTTGGACGCAGTTTCTATGAAATAAACACTTGGGTTTCACTCAGCGATTGGTGACGTTGTGATGGGGGCCCCTGGGCTGGCTTCCTTCTCTACCATTCGGGCCACCCTTGTCGCCCACCCACTGGCTCACCCTGATCAATGAGGAAGGGGGCATCCACCCTAGTCTGACTACCCAGAGT